CAAGCACTGCTGATGCAACAAATAAGATGAAGACATTGGCTATTCATTTTGTCAATGTGGAAGTCACTGTTGACATTGACAAGGGCAGTTTTCATGGAGTGGAGGGGATGAAAATCTAAATGGAGTAGGCCCATGAGAGGATGACAAAGGAGAAAGGGGAGACAGCTGATACAGACAGTTCCTTGGAGTCGTTTTGTTATAAAGGGGAATAGGAATATGGGAAGTACCTAGAAGGGACTTGGAGTAAAAGGGTTTTTTTTTAGAGAAGGTAAAATTGAAGCCTGTTTGTATGCTGATGGGAATGATCCAGTAGAGAGGGGAAAGTAATGAATGAAGAAGAAATAGAGGACAGTTGTAGGAGAGAGACTTTAAATGGATGAGGAGGATGAAGACCACAGCACAGGCGAAGGGGTGGCCCATCTGTTGAAACAGAAAGGAAGGCAGCATAGGTGAGAACCGAAGCCATGGAGTTAGTGGTGGGAGCGCCCAGAAGTTCTCTGCAGCAGGACCATCAGTTGTGAATGGGCAGAGGGCAGGAGAAATTGGAGATCTGAAAGTTGTGCCCCTGAGAGACGGGGAATGTGGTGGAATTGATGGGCAGCATTAAGGGCTCATTGAGATGTGTGGTCATGGATTTAAGTGAGTCTGGTGAGCATGGTGGACTGGTTTTTCTTCACCTGTCCAACCTTTTTGGGTGTAGGGATAGAGAAGGTAGAGAGTTGAAGCTAAGCAGGATTGGGCTATCTCTAGGTGAGTGTGATGAAGAGAAGAAGGGGAAAAGAAGCTGATATCATGTAAAATAATGGACTTTGGAGTCTAAGCTGGAGAAGGAGAGATGGGAGGGTAGGAGGAAGGTGATAGACAATAAAAAGACAGTAGGGTCAATGGGTTTGTGGTCTCACTGGGGGCAGAAGAGCTATTGGAACGAGGTATGAGGGAGGGTGATTTGGAAGGATGGCAGGTGGTATGGAGAAAGAGAGATGCTTGAAACTAAGATTATAGAAGAAGCAGTTACTTACACTGATATTCTAAGGTGTGAGATCCTGGGAGTGTAGCTGAGGGGAGTTGAAAGACAAGTTTCATTGGATGTGAGAAGGCTAAAGAAATGAGAAGACAAGGTATGGGAGGAATTGTTTCCAGAGATGTGGAAATCTCTGCGAATTACTATGACAGGCGGTATAGTGAAGACACACACAGTGAGCCAGGAGCCTAAATCTTCAGGGAATGAGAGGGAGTGAAGGAAAGGTCTATAGATGACTGCAACAAAGAGAGCAGAGTACCTGATGGATTCTACAGGTCTGGCCAGATGCCACACTCTTCAAAGGAGCAGACTTTTTTTGTGAAGAAGGAGTCACAGTCGTTCAGAAGCTGCACTGAGGAGCAAGAGGAAGACCTCATCTGGCTCTCAGCCCAGTGGGTCAAGGGGTGTGTGAGAAAAATGACCATTCTGGCTTTGGTTTGAGCACACAGGTGAAGACAACATTTAGAGAAGAGTTGGAGGATAGAAGATTTTGCTATTTCCGGACCTGGAGTTTCAGAAGGCAACATGGAAATATTTGTGGGACCTGGGATGGGTGTGATACTGGGTCAGAGTAGGAGTACACCAATTTGTATGGGGACAAGAGTCTAGGTAATGAGGAATGAACTTGGGCCTTGTGGTCACCAAGAGAAACAGTATTGTAGGGCATGATGGGATCAGTCCTGACATTTCTTAAGGTTAGCTCGATATTCAGTTCTCATTAGAGTATGTTTCTGGGACTGGTATCTTAGATTGTGGTCCTGAAGCAGTGACTGTTGGGGACAGAGGGCTTTCCAAGACCATGCAAAACTCTTTGGGTCTTCTGTCTTGCCAAGGGCAGTATCACAGCTAGAAAAAGGATTAATATTACCATAGAGCTCTATGGACCTTTTGGAAAAAGTATTAATTCTTAAAAAAAAAAGTCTTAATTTAAAAAATTTTCGGAGATGGAATTGTTAGGTAAAGGGTTTTCATATTGTGATAGCTAATGTGATAAACTCCCCAATATTCATTCTTCTTTGAATGATTAGCCTAAATTATGGTAACTGTGCAACTCATGTCAATGACTGGCTCGGAATAGACAATTGACCAAATCCTAGTCAATGGATAAGAGAGGATGTCTGATGCAAGCTTAGTGTATTAGTCCACTTTCTGTTGGTTATAACAGAATACCTGAAACTGGGTAATTTATAAAGAAATAGAGTTTTTTTCTTACACTTTCACAGGCTGGGAAGTCCAAAGTCTAGAAGGTGCTTTTGGGGAGGGTATTTCCCTTGGTGGGGACTCTTGTCCTGGGACAGTGTAGGGTATCACATAGTCAGGGGTAAAAGTGCATGTTAACATGCTCACTTGCTCTCCTTATAAAGCCACCAGTGCCCCTCCCATGATAATCCACTCATACATTAATCCATTAGTCCCTTAATCTACGATTGGACTAATTCATTCATGAGGGTTATAGCTCTCATGATCCAGTTACCTCCCAAAGGCCCCCCCTCTCAACACTGCCACACTGGGGATCAAGCTTCCACATAGATTAGGAGGGGACAAACATAGCAGGTGAGTAGCTGGCTTGAGGGAAAAATTCCAAATTCCTTAAAAACCATTTAAGAAAGAAATGATTCCTCTTCATTCTCTAGATGCTTTTAATTGTAAGGCCTGTGCAGTCTCGGCCATCTTATCTCCAGTCTGAGGTCGATGCTATAGACAGAGAAGGTCCAAGTAGAAAAAATATGGAGAAACGGATCTGGAACTGGACATACCACTCCTAGCCATGCCTTATCTTTGGACTTATGGG